TTAATAAATAAATAAATAAATAAATAAATAAATAAATAAATAAATAAATAAATAAATAAATAAATAAATAACCATTCTCTGAGTACAATTCTGTTACCAATTTTTCACCCACTTGACACGTGTTCTATCCAGCCCACACAAGTTAGCTTGCTAATCAGAATACCATGAAATATTTTGTCAAAGGCTTTGCTGAAGTCAAGATATATTACATGTATCACATTCCCAACATCTACCAGGGAGGTTACCCGATGAAAAAATGAGTTAAAATTAGTCTGACAGGGTTTATTCTTGACAATCCATGTTGGCTTCTAGTTATTAATGCATTTTTCCCCAAGGTGCATGTAGAGTGACTTCTTTATAATCTGTTCCAGAATTTTCCCTGGGATTGATGGCAGGGTGACCAGTCAGTAGTTCCCTGATTTCTCCCTTTTGCCCCTTCTGTGTTCCCAGTTTCTTGTGTTATTTTTTTAAAAGCTATTTTTAAAAGAAGCCTTTGCATGCTATTATGAATAATTACAGTTTACCCTGTGCTGTTCAGTGTTGCATACATTTTATAGTTTGATATATTTTAATTTGAGATAAACACTGATGTTGATAGATTAAAAGTGCCATCCACCCTCAAATTATTTTTTGTTCGCCTTTAGTAATATTAATAATAATAATTGCATGCCATCAAGTTGATTCCAATTCATGGTGATCCTTTCCAAGTAGAGAATAGTCAGAAGTGGTTTATCCTTCCCTTCCTCTGGGGTCATCTTGGGACTGTGCAACTTGAACATGGTTACAGTCTGGCTCTTCTTGCAGGAGGCACAGTGGGGAATCCAACTCCCAACCTCTGACTCTGCAGCCAGGCATTTAAACCTCTGAGCTATCCAGCCAGCCCTTGTTCCCCTGTAGGGACCACATGTTGAGCTTACCTGTTGAAGCAATGCTTTGAATGAAAGGGATCGCAATCGCAGGGTCAGGGCTTCCCCAGACTTCCCAAACATGAAGCCCTGAAAAGCATCAACACAACATATGGTGTATCATGGTGAGTCGTTTCCCTACTTCTCCAATTCGGTTCTGCACATAGTTTGACAAATGTGGTTAATACACTTGGGGCTCCCTCTTTATGAGATGCCATTCTTGCAAAGTTAATGTTTGCTTGGTGTGTAGCCACATAGGCAAATATCATCCATTTTTTCTTTTAATTTTGTTTTTTAGAATAAACTATTGTTAAAGTTTTCACAACATACTAGTACCTAAGGTTTCAGTGTCATACTTTTCAGATTCCACATTCCAAACCAATCTTTCAGGTTTTTGTGACAATCATTTTTTGTGGGTCAATCCACTATAGTAGTCAATCCACTATAGTTCAGGGGCACTTTTTAAAATGCAACCTGACAGGCCCCACTAATAGCATGTTTTCAAATTTTCTCTGGCCTCATCCTCTGCTGGAATGTGCTCCCCTTAAAAACTTTCAAAAACAGGAATTCAGAATCCAGGCATAGAAATCTTCTCCACACCAAATGTACTGGGGGGTGGGTGGGTCTCAAATGACAGATCATGCATAATTAGAAGATGAACTCCCATTAGCTTTGCAGGAATCTGACTCTGAAATATTATCAGTCCACTGTCATCTTTGGGTGTTCCTTCACAGCATTTTTTAAAATTAAAATGGCCTTAAATAGTGCTTACCTGTATTACATATGTTACAAAGCTAACCACTCCCAAGAGAAGGAACAAAAGAGAAAACATCACTGTATAGTAGTTTCTCCTTGTAGTATCTTTTATTTGGAAAGCCTGGATTGGAAAGAATAATAGAGAAAACAATTTGGTTCATTTTTTTTTCTGTTTAATTAAAATTACAAGAAACAGCTGTAACAATCTCCATCAAGTCAACTGTGATGTTTCTCTTTGCATCCCCTTTCAAATCCCTCTCAATAATTTATGATTAACTACATTGGTTAATTACCATACAGTTAGTGTCAGTTTGGGCATGGATGAAATGTGCTGCTTATATACCACACCATGGCACTGAAAGCCGTCTCTGGACAGTTTACAATTTAATTATGCATTTTACCAACCTTGGAAGGATGGAAAGCTGAGTCCACCTTGAGCTAATTACCTGAACCTGTTGGGATTGAACTCAAGTCACGCATGACCAGAGTCTTGACTGCAGTACTGCATTTGACCACTGCACCACAAGATTCCTGAATTAAAAAACAGTGATTACACAATGTGAAGCTCAGTGCAGGCAAACCCAATGGAGAATTGCCTCTTTTTGTTCAGCTGGCAAGGGTAGATTCATTTTACTCCAATTCATTGTCATTGCTTTTCTCCACTTTCACCTGATCTGACTGATGCAAAGGGATGCTCATGGGGGTACCAGTTCCTCTCAAGTAAGCACTGTTGCCTCCCACAAGTTGTGTTTTTTTGGAAGGTTTTTCAAAATCAGCACTACGACAGATTATTGCCAAGTAATTTTGGGGTGGGGGGGAATGAACTAAAAAAGAGGCAAAGGGAAGGCTGTGATCCTGGGGAAGTTGCCAATTGCCATGCCATCAGAGCAGACGCAGCTTCTCCTATTGGAACTTTGTGAAAACACACTCACAGCTTTTGCCCTTGGAACACAGTTATTATAGGCTGCCTTGGGCTCTCTTATCAAGAGAAAGATGGCCTATAAAAGAAGCAAGCAAACCAACAAGCAAGCGAACAAGCGAACAAACAAACTGCATTCATCTGGACAGCTACAGCAATTGCAAACAAGCAAAGGGCCGATTTGAAAAACTTCAGATTCTTCACTGTGTAGTCACACCCTCAGTTTTTTCTAAAAAAGACAAAGCCTCATTATATTGACATTAATTTTTCACTCACACATTGCCAGGCTTCTGTACTATATATTACTATGTATTGCAGCAGTTATCCCCAGAGCTAATGATGTAAACATTTCCACACAAATTTTGTATAGCTCAGGAAAAAAAAAAGTGAACTTAGGGTCAAGCTGGATGTCAAGGTTAATATGTATTCCCTTCACATCTGTTTTCCTTCCAATAATGGGATTCTTCAGATATGCATGCCTGAACACACTTACAAATTAACCTCTGATTTACCCGCCAATGACAAATTAAAAAACCAAAGCACATGAAACACATGACAGGGAGGTGGGGGGAAAAAAACATACGTTATGACCATCTGGGAAATTGTTGAGGCCTGGGAGAGTTCAAAAATTTTGCATTGCACCTGATAAAGTTGCTTGCCCCAGTTTAATTTGACCCTTATTCATGTAGTCCCAGGAATTCTTTGTTTGGTTCTGAACTCTTTGTTCTGAACTTCAGAATGTAAAAGGTGAATATTCACCTCAGGGTACAGGTAGAAGCTTACATAGGGCAACTCAATTAAGTCTACAGGAAATCTACACAGAAGTCAATTTGTTTGTTTAAAATAGTTACAAAACAAACTCATGGTCCTATAAAGTGACTAAAACATACACACAACATAAATGTATCAACTCCAAGATTCTTTTTAATATAATGAATCTGGAATAGCCGAAGGAGTCAGGTATGGTAAAAATAGCTAATACTGTTTAATTAAACATTGAAAATTCTCCTAATGGACATAGTACATGTTAAATTCTATGATTTGCTTCCACAAGATCTAATGATGGTTCTCAACTCTGACAATACAAGGTGGGAAAGGGTTTTCCCCTTCATTTCTTTTGTTTTCACTGGTGAGATTGGGGGTAATGGTAGAAGATTGCACACATCCCTTCTCTGCATGTCCCACTCTTTTCTCTCTGCCTCCCCCTCCCTCCCTTCTTCAAACTCTGTGCAGCCAAACGCTAGTGTAAAGTGTATGGGACGTGGTGGCGCTGCAGGTTAAACCGCAGAAGCCTCTGTGCTGTAAGGGCTGTAGATCTTCAGCTGCAAGATTGAATCCATGTGATGGAGTGAGTGCCCGTCACTTGTCACAGCTCTTGCCAACCTAGCAGTTCGAAAGCATGCAAAATGCAAGTAGACAAATAGGGACCACCATAGTGGGAAGGTAATGGCGTTCCATGTCTAGTCGCACTGGCCATGTGACCACGGAAGATTGTCTTCAGACAAATGCTGGCTCTATGGCTCAGAAACAGGGATGAGCACCACCCCCTAGAGTCGAACACAACTGGACAAAAATTGTCAAGGGGAACCTTTACCTTTAGTGTAAAGAGCAGATGGTGTTTTCCTGCTTTTGATTGGCTGCATATTTTCCCCTTGCAGCACCACATATACTTTGCCTCTCTCTCTCTTTACAAGGATCTCTCCAAATGACACATTGCTCCTCCTTCTGACCTCAGCCAACAATATTTACACTGCACCAACCTATACCAAAAGGGCCACTCTGGACATGCCCATGGTGCTACATAATACTCCCAGTATAAGAGGAAATATGCCCTCAGTACCACTCATTGTGGAACATATAAGGGAGGCTTCATTTACATTCTGCTTGTAGACTTCCTGCTAGCACTTGATTGGCCACTGTAGGAACAGAAGGCTGAACTGAGAAGCCTGGCCTAGGACAGCTCAAGTCCCCACCCATTTTATGGGTTAATGTCTGTCTTTGCATTGTCTTGGAAGCAATGGAAAAACCAAGGCATATATTTTAAAATAGGATCACTCTGGCAAGCTCCAATTTACAACACAGTCATTCAGGAAGGTGCCTCGGCCACAGCAATTAAGTCCAGTCATTTAAAAAAATATATTTGGGATATTTTTATGGAAAGCAGGTAACAGGTGGAGGCAGCAATAAATTGTTACTGCCTGTAAAATGATGTAGGGAAGACTATCCTTCTGTTTTAATACAACTAAAGCAGGATAAAATATGACAACAGCAGCAAAGTGGGAGAAAAAATTGGCAGGTGCTGAAGCAGAGGTTACTGAAAGTTGTTAACTTACCCCAATAATTTTACCAAACAGAACTGCAAATGCAGGAGTGACAGCTCCTCCAATGGCAGAAGCAATGACCCCAAATGCTATGTAGCAAAATTCAGGTTTATTTAGCGCCAGAATCCTGGAATAAGGCACTTCAGGAAGCTTCTCTTCCTGTAAGAGACAAAGTTCCAGTTATTGCCAGAGGGTGAGGTAAGAGGCAAGAAGTAATGTAATTGCTGGTCAATGAACCACACAAGCAAAACACTCCAAAGATTTTCACATGATTCAAAATGAACTAAGTTAGGAAACTTACTCAGCCTTTTACATCCAGCTGGTTTTTTATGACTGCAAGCTTTAATTGCTCAATGAATAATGTTGAAAGTAAAAGAGAAATGGAAAAGATCTCAAAATCTGTCTGAACGGGGCACTGAAAAGTCAAGCTGGATCAGCTGTCACAGCAACTTGAATGCACAAATCTTTCTATTGAACTAAATGCTGCTGCATATAAATGTTTATTTTATTCTCATCTCTCAACTTTTAAATAATTTTGTTTTGTTTCTTGAAAAAACCTGTAAAGTTGTTGATACTTAGTAAGCAAACTCTTGAAGCTAGCTGTCTGAAACTGTGAAGGTTCATTACCATAATTCATACCATCAAAACAAAACCAAAAAAGAGAGGTTACTTACCTGTAACCATGATTCTTCTAGTGGTCCCCTGTGAATTCACACAATTGGATTGTTCTACACCTGCACAGGACCTCTCGGACGTTTCAAGAGCTTAAAGACATGTGATTAGTGGGATGTTCCCCCATGGAGCGCACGCTCTGCCTGCCAGAAATCCCCCCAGTTCCCAAAAGAGTCCACCGCTGTCAAAGAGCTATATAAGAAGACAATGTGACGGACAGAGGGGAGGCAGGGCGGGATGTGTGAATTCACAGAGGACCACTAGAAGAAGAGGACCACTAGAAGAACCATAGTTACTGGTAAGTAACCTCTTTTTCTTCTTCGTGGCCTCTGTGAATGCACACAATTGGGTGATTGGCAAGTTCACTTACCGGATGGTGGGACTTCACAGTAGAAAGGAAGTCAAGACAGCTCTGCCGACAGCAGTATATTTCTTTGCCCGGATATTCAGACACTAATGTGTGACAAACATTGATGGATTGGACCATGTAGCTGCATGGTAGATGTGAGAGATTTCTATTCCTTGTTGGAAGGCAGTGGAGGTAGACAGTGCCCTAGTTGAGTGAGCCTTCAAGGGTTGAGGTGGCGTTTTGTCTGCGAGTTCATATGCAAGTGAAATTGTTTGAACAATCCACCTAGCCAACGTTTGAGGAAAAGCTGGTGAACATTTATTAGGACCATGAAAACATAGGAAGAGCCTTGATGCTTTCCTGAACAATTTGGTTCTGTCAATGTAAAAGGCCAAGGAATGTCTAACATCAAACATGTGGAGCATGTTCTCAGGAGGTGTAGAGGGAGATGAAAATAGTGTAGGTAGTATTATAGGTTGATTAAGATGAAAATGAGATACGACTTTAGGTAAGAATGAAACATCTGGGTATAGAGTGACCTTGTCCAGATGGAACTGCAGAAAAGGTGGATCTGATCTAAGAGCTGACAGTTCGCTAGCATGTTTAGCTGACATTATGACTACTAAGAATGATGTTTTCAAGGAAAGCAGTTTGAGGTTAGTAGTAGCCATTGGTTCAAAGGGAAGTCAGGTGAATGTGTTAAGGGCAAGCTGTAATGACCATTGGGGAAGAGGAGGTTGATGTGGAGGACGGATATTGAGAAGTCCCTTAAGGAAGTTTTTCAAAGTCAGATGGGAGAAAAGTTTAGCTGCTTCCGAATGAGATGGTTGGTGCACGACCACCGCAGCAATATAAACTTTCAAAGGAGAATGGGCCAATCCAAGATGAAAAGGATGGAGTATAAAGGTAAATAGAGTCTTCAATGAAACTGGTACCGCAGGTAAGTTTTTAGAATTGAAAAAGGAGAGGAATACTCTCCATTTATGTTGAAAGGCCCGGGGGGGGCATGAAAGAAAAGGGAACATTGGAGCGAAGATGGGGGGATGGGAAGAATCAGCAAAAATGGGGGAAAGAGAAAAAAACTGAATCAAATCAAAAGAAGAACAAATCAATTTAGAGAGGAAATGTCCAACAAAAAAGTAATTGAAATAACAGAAGAAACAACTACCAATCATAGTAAATGCTCAATTGCTCTAGCTCTCTCTGAAATAGGTCTAACCTAAGTGGTGGCTAAAAGGAACTGAGGAGATTTCTGGTGGGTGGAGCATGTGCTCCATGGGGGAACATCCCACTAATCACATGTCTTTAAGCTCTAGGAACTTCCGAGAGGTCCTGCGCAGGTGCAGAACAACCCAACTGTGTGAATTCACAGAGGCCACAAAGAAGAACAAGTCATTTTGTCTTTCCAAAGTAAGTGAATGGGAGGCTGTGATCCAGATTTACAAATCAATTGGGATCTAGGGCATTAATCAAGTCGGAAAGGGCCAGGGTTTCTCCAGCACACAATTGCCTCTCCTGACTGAAGAAAGCCTAAGCACAGCCCTATGTAGCATATTACAGCCGAAAAACTTTTGACACTTCGAATGTTAGCTAGAGCCAAAAAATAAATCTGCCAATTCAGAACACTGTAACTTGAGAATTCATCAAACCTAAACTTAAACAATATGATCTGGTATTGCATGATTCACAGAAGAAAAAAATAATATACAATACCTAGTTGTCATTAAAAAAAGAAGCAATTATTTATTCTGATATTTATGCTATTCTTGTAAGGTGTGTTGGAATGAGTGTTAACACCAACCACTTTATTCTTCTTTGTTTTCTTCTTCCTTTTCTTCCTTTTCTTGCGCTCAGAGTATCTTTTAGTAGAAGCCCTACTCAAGCTGGGTCTGATGGATGCTCTATGAAAATTTCCCTCTATAGCCTTTTCTGTGTCACCAACAGGATTTTCTACATCATCTGTGAACGGATCATTTAGATCTTCTTCTCCAAAGCTACGTTCATCGCCATCCTCCTCTTCGTCCTCTTCGTCCTCTTCGTCCTCTTCCTCAGTCTCAATATTTGAATCTTCTTCTGTTTCACTATCCTGATCATCTCCACCATAACACTAATAGAGATAAAAAACATACTTTTTAAAGTATATATTATACATTAAATGTATATATTTTTTTCCATCAGCAGAAGAGAGCACAAATTATGCTAGCTAAGCTTTGTTTTTAAAACAAAGCAGAAAAACCCATGACAATTCAATGTATAGCACTGCTGGGTGCAAGGCAATTATTTATTTTAAAGCAAAAGCAAAGCGTGCTGCTTATATACCACCCCATAGTGCTTCAAGCACTCTCTGGGCGGTTTACAA